GGGATTAAAATGAATCCCAAAATTAACATAATGAATAAAAGAATATTAAGCCTAAATTCAATAATAAACTCAATAAATGAAATCAATACTTTTCTCTTAAAATTTTAAATTTTTATAGTGTAGCACATATTACAATTTACTATTTTCTTTTATCATATTAAGGGTGTGTTTGGATTGGCGGTGAATATTGAAATTCTGGTATACATATCACTAATGTCATACCACATGTTGAATGATCTCTGCGTAAAAACATCTGGACAGCATAGAGCATATTGATATACAACAATATCAACACAAAGTCATAATAGATGTTCCAACATCTTATATGACATATCAATCAATCAAGAAACAAAAACTAAACAATGCAGAATGATAATAACACAAGGATATGATGATCCAATTCAGTGTACAACAACACCTACTCTAGGGGATACCAATCTAGGAAGAAGATTACACTATCAATAGTATTATTTTATATAAACAACCTCATGTTTACAGGTAAACAATCTCCATTTTACCTAAACAAGACTCTTGACTAATTAACATACTTGGATTTTCTTCAAAGTTTCATCCAAGAACAATACATAATTCATTCCTTAAAGGCTTCTAAATCTGTATACAAATTATGTCTATCACAATGCATCAAATTGATACAAAAGGTGACTTACAACGCAAGTACACGACTCTCAAAACCCTAAACCCTTATCTTTAGATATTACAATATGTTATACAAGGATTAGTTAACAAGTCCTAGGTCTAAGTCTTTCTTTTATAATCTTCAACATACTAGACTGGGTTTCAAATCACTGCTGGCCTGTTGCAAATAAGGCATAAAAAATATCTCCTATATCATAGGACTTCAATAATTAGTTTCCTAAATTATCTCTATAATTAGAAACTAAACAATATCCTAAAATTCAGCTTGAATCTCTTCAATCTTCAAAATATGCGCCAGATAAGATAGCACAATATTCCCATAATATTCTGCACATGAAATATATCAATTAAATCCAATTGTCCAGTTGGTCACAAGTGTGATATCGAATGGCTCTTCATAAGACATCTTCATTTAACATGTCTTTCTGATGATGAAACATGTTAGTTTAACACTTCTGAGTTCTTCAACTTGAACACGGTATATGATTACTAAATATTCTCATAATGATCTATATTTGTAACTCACTCACAGAATGCAAACATCCAGTTATATCAGACAAGATATCGGATGATCATAATGAGACATCTTGTTCAGCATCCAGTTTTACCAAAATTAGTCAAACATTTAGAGCTCAAATCTTTGGAGCTTTCAAATATAATCGATCTTAGTAGAATTGATTTTAACATAGTTGACTTTAATATAATTAATTTATTTTGAATATATTTATGTAAAAGTGAGTAGAATAACAAATTTAAGTTTAAAAATTACACGAAATAAATTTTAGAGATAAAAGCTACAAATTCTAACTTCAAGTTAAATTAATTCTGGAGACATAATTAATTCTACTTTGATAAATCAAACATCTTAAAATCACCCAAAATTAAGTCTACACCTTTAAAATTAATTATGAGTCTTCTAAAAATCAATCCAAAGATGTTATAAGAATATACAATAAATATTGACATAAAATATACAATTGAAGATTTCAAAACTTTTTTCTTCATAATATTACACGCTTCAATTAGTCATTCACATATTAGAGAACAAAATTTACGAATATTAATTTTAGGATAAAATATGTTTTTGTTCCCTATAAAAATCTAAAATTTCACTTTTAATATCTATAAAAAATGATATATTTTGATCCTTACAAAGTTTTTATGCATGTTGTTTTAGTCTCCGTTATTTTTTAAAATTTTAAAAATTATTTAATTATCCTTAAATTTTTAAAAATTTTGAATTTTATTTTCATATATGTTTTGAATACTATGAAAATTTCTTTACTAAATTTTAAAAAATTTTAAAATAAGAAGAATTAAATATGATTTTTTTTTTAATTTTAAAAGATAATGATAAAAATAATAAAAATTTCGATTTAAAAATCAAATTTCGACAATAATAAAAGATAATTTTATAATATTTTAAACATGTCTAAAATAATCATTCGAAAATAAACATTGATTTAACAACAGAAAGTAAAACTAGATGCATAATAAATTTTTAGGGACCAAAATATACCTATTTTTTATATAGATTAAAAAAAATAGTAATTTATAAGAACTAAAAATATATTTAATCTTTGTTTTTATTTCCATTTTTTAATGTAATCTCTCGATTCATTCTACTCTAATTTTTTTAAAATGAATATCATTTTTATTAAGGGTGTATTTGTTTTAAGTTATAAAATATGATTCATTGGAATCATATTTTCATGTTTTTTATTTCTAAAAATAATATTCTTATGCATGTGTTTGGTGAAGAATTGAATTTTCTGAAAATATTTACAAATTTAATTTAATTTAAAAATTATAAAAATAAATATAAAAATAAATGTGAGTATTAGTGAGAAATTAAATTAATTAAATTTTATTCACATGAAAATATTAGATTTTCATCCTTTATCTTGAAAATAATTTTTTTTTAAAAATTATGTGTAAATAACATTTCCAAATCCTTAAAAATAATTTTTGAAAAATTAAAACAAACATAAAATTATTTGTATTTCCGATATAATATTTTCAAAAATATTATTTTATAATTTGAAACAAATAACTAAAGTTACACTAAAATATATTTTGTTTTTTTCATAAATATTCTTCTCAATAAAGTCAATTTTATTCTATAGCTATCTAGCACTAATCTTGTTTACATCTTGTATTTGTATGTTACCAAATACTTATTTTAAGCTCTTAAGACGTCACCAAATATTTTTGTACTAGAAGACATTGTGATGGCATCTTCTCTCATCATCATCACATGCACACCACAATGGTTTTTTGTTTGGTTTCAAATAACGGGCATGCATTTATTTCAAAAACAAATACTAATTTTATCAACAACAAAACAAAAAACAAAGACATCCACATCAAAAAAAAAATTATGGAACTCCGTTGATGCAAAGAGAATGTTTAGGTGTTACTACGTGTTAGTTTAGTTACGCGGTTGATGTAACAAAAAGAAATAGTTACGCGGTTGAGAAAATTAATTTTAAGCAATTTAATTTTTTTAAAATTTATTATACTAAAAGTGAATTATACGTAAGATAATTTTATTATACTAATTTAAATTATATTAATTTTAATTAAAAATAAATTGAAGACAAAATTATCTCAACTTTAATTTTTTATATAAATAAGTTAAATAATATATTTAAACATATAAACATATAAGTTATAAATTTTTAAAATAAAAAAATTTAAATAGAACTTTTTAAGTGTAATTCTGATAAATATATATATAATTTTATTTTTATTTTTATTTCTTAAACGAGATTTAAATATATTTATTATATTTTTTTTAAAGAAATAATAAGAATTATATCTAAAGAGTTGTATCTAAATTTTTTATTATAATAACTCATAATTTTAAACAGAAATAATTTTAAAAATAAAATTTATTTTAATTAAAAAAATTAGATACGCTAAACTTAATTTTATATTTTAAAATAATTTTTTCCTTTTTAAAATAAACGAAACATCTCAAAAACAAAAGTGACCGTTGATCTCAAATACAATTAACAACTCCATTGTTTTTAAAGTGATAACCTTTACCAACACAATATTCTGTCCAGCTAAAATAACATGAACAATCTTCAAAGCCACAAAATGTTAATCAACTTTATAAAAAGAAAAAGAAACAATATTTATTTGAAAAAGAATAAAATATAAAAGTAAAGAATCATTTAAGATAATAAATGAAAAAGTTGAGTATTATAATAAGTACTATTGAAAATAAAAGAAAAATAATAATAGATTAATTAAACATAATAATATTAGAAGTGTTTAAATATAACTTGATCTAAATAAAAATCATAAAAACTAATTGATTTGGATTAAATTTTAGATTAATTTTTCAAAATTGATTTAAATCGAATCAAATCCAACCACGTCTATATATTTGTATGTTTATTTATTTTTTTAATAATTTGATATATTGTGTTAATTTATTATTTGTTGATATTTATTTTTTAAATTTTATTTTTTAATTTAATTTAATCTATTTATTTTTATTATTTTATTTACTTCAACTATAATCAATTATTTTAATTTTATAATATTAATTTTTAATATATTATATATTATATCAAATATATTATTTTAGTTTTTTATATAATTTATAAATTTAATTAGTATACACTAAGAGTGTAAAATAATTTTACACAATGAATTATGACCGTTAAATATTTATTAAAATTTGACTTTTATTTTAATTATTTATAAACTATAAATAATTATGATGCACTAAATATATAAAAAAAATTACATTAACAATACATAATAACTAATCTTATAAATTATAATTTAAATATTTAAAAATATATCTAAATTAAATCATATGAAATTAAATCTGATTGAATTGAATTATTTCTTCAAATATTTAAAATCAAATCAAATTTAAATATAATGAGTTTTTATCTCCAAACGTTTTGACAAACAATTTTAAATTGTACCATTTTAATATTAATCCTAATTAAATAAATAAGTATTAAAATTATAAATACATGCAATTGAACTTATTTCATATAAAAACTAAAATTTGTTTAATTTTAAAATATTCAAAATAATAATAAATTAAAAAAATATCCACATGTTTTCAGCTCAAAATCCCCCAACGTAATATAACAAATAACACCTCAAACTAATTATTTATATTTTTATAGTAATAAACATGTCTATTTTGACCAAAATCTAAAAAAGGGTCCAACTGTTCTCAACTCAAAAAACCCTCAAACGTGTATTATTTGTCTTCCATCCACCTATAAATAAACACAGACCTAAGATAAGACCGTTTTATATCTCTCTCACTTTCCTTTCTATCCCAAACGTCACAACAAATAAAAACAATGGCCACCTCAACCTTTTCACCTCTCCCTCTCCTCCTCCTCCTCCTCTTCCACCTCGCCGTTACTTCCGTCACCGTCACATCCATCGGCATCAACTACGGCACCCTAGGAGACAATCTCCCACCACCAACCACCGTAGCAAACTTCCTAAAAACAAACACAATCATCGACCGTGTCAAGATCTTCGACGTGAGTCCTCAGATCCTTCAGGCTTTTGCTAACACCGGGATCTCCGTCACCATCACGGCGCCGAACGGCGATATCGCGGCGTTGGCGAAGATTGATACGGCGAGGCAATGGGTTGTTACGCATGTTAAGCCTTTTCATCCTCAGACGAAGATTAATTATATTCTGGTTGGAAGTGAAGTTCTTCATTGGGGTGATAGTGCTATGATTCGGAACCTTGTTCCTGCTATGAGAACGCTTCATGCTGCTCTTCTTGCGGAGGGTATTTCCGACATTAAGGTAAATTATAACTATTTTTAGCTACTTTTAGTTATATCTATTATTATGATTATTATCAACTTTAACTTCTATATTTACAACGCGTTTCTTACAATTTATAAATATAAAGATGAATAAATAGATTAATAGAAAAAGAGATCTAAGCAACGTTTTAGATTGTGAAAGTGGTAATGTAGATTTTTTTTAAAGAAAAGGCTCGGTTTTTGAGAAAGTAATTTTTATATTTAATTTTGAGAAAATATTGAATTAAAAAACGGCACATTGAGATAGATATTAGCTTAAAAATTTAATGAAGTGAATGACAGAAAAAGAAAGTGATGAAAATGAGGTGTTATGAATGACGTTGGAAGCTAGACAAATTCACGCGTTTGGTAAAAGTTAAGAAATGAGAAAAAATAAATAAAAATTATATTAGCTTTTTTCTTGCAGCATTTGAAAGATTGGTGTCCATTGGATCAAGATCTAATGATCTACAAGAATTCAAGTTTTATTTTTATTTTTTTAACTTCAAATTTTGAATTAAAATCTGAAGTGTTTGATCTTTAATCAAACCGTCACCAATATTCTAAATGGGTGATGGCTCTGATTTAAGTTTGATATTTTCAGTAATATAAAATAGTAGTATATATTAAGTACTCTTTTTTCTTGGAGTATTAGATCTAAGTTAGACAGTGATTGATGTTCTAACGGCCTGATTGTAGAAAAAATGTGACTGCTGCCTGGAATCTGTTTCCAAAAATTATTTCAATGATTTTTTTTTTCAGTTCAAAACTTATTAATTGAAAAATTCTTAAATGTTTGTAAAAAAATTTGGATTAGGAATTATGAAATATTTAGCTGAATATTTTGTTTTTTTACAATTTTTCAGGTTACTACAGCACACTCGTTAGCAATAATGCGACAATCGTTGCCACCAAGTGCAGGCCAATTCAGACCAGGATTCGCAAAATACTTTCTAGGACCAATGTTGAAATTCCTAAGACAAACAAGAACACCATTTATGGTAAACCCATACCCATATTTCGGTTACAATCCAAAAAATGCCAACTTCGCATTATTCAGACCAAACCGTGGCTTACTCGACAGGAACACCAACCTAAGATACACAAACCAATTTGACGCTTTAATGGACGCGGTTCATTCTGCAATGAAGGCGCTTGGGTATGGTGATGTTGACATTGCTGTTGGTGAAACGGGCTGGCCTTCTGTTTGTGATGGTTGGGATGCTTGTAGTGTGGCGAATGCTCAGAGTTATAATGGTCAGTTGATTAGGCATTTGGCAGAAGGAAAAGGGACTCCGTTGATGCCCAATAGGCGGTTTGAGACTTTTATTTTTGCTTTGTTTAATGAGAATCAGAAACCTGGTCCAATTGCTGAACGTAATTGGGGACTCTTTCAACCTGATTTCTCTTCTGTTTATGATGCTGGGATCTTGCGTAACGGACAGGTATTGTTCTTTTTTCTCACTTTTATCACGTAGTATACAATATGTTGTTGAGAGTGTTTTGATTTTGAAAGAATAATGCAGAGACCAGTAGTGCCTGTAAAGGGAGGAGGACAAACGCCAACACCACGTCCTGTAGTTGGAGGGCAGAAATGGTGTGTGCCAAAGGCGGACGCGAGTGCTGGAGCTTTACAAGCGAATATAAACTATGTTTGCAGCCAAGGAGTTGATTGCAGGCCAATCCAACCGGGAGGAGTTTGCTACGCTGCTAACAATGTTAAGGCACTTGCCACTTATGCCATGAATGCTTACTATCAGGCTAATGGAAAACATGATTTCAATTGTGACTTCGCGAACTCCGGTGTTGTTACTTCTGTTAATCCAAGTGAGTATCAATCAATGGCATACTCTTTTATGTTCTTTAACAATAATGATTACAATATGTATGATATTTGCTTACAATATGTGTTTTGTTATTCTTATATTGCAGGTCATGATAATTGTAGAATTTGAGGATGTTTGGAGATAGAAAAAAAGGCTATTGCGATTGGCATGTGAGGATATAAGAGGGAAAATGCAGTCAATGTGGCTTTTGAGTTAGTAGTGGCTATGTATTCAAGTACTTGATTATTTAGTTTGTATATTAGTATATTATGGAAAATGGATGTTAACGTTGGCATGACATTTCATCCTTTGATTAAATATATGCTTCGTTTGTGGCTGAAAAGTAGTATTTTCTTAATCAACCTGTAAAAGACCCGTGTGGACTCATGGGTAAGTTCATTTTTGCAAATTTGTGTTATTAATACAAAATGAAATTTTGGATGTTTGTGTCTTATCTTAATACATCTCAAGAAACATTATTGTAAATTGCTTTTATTAAATTTTTCAATAGAATATCTACGAAAAAGCTGGTATAGAACATCGCCTTCAACAATAACAATAATATATTAATATTTATATAATTAATTTATTAGTTGTGTTCCGTATCACTTAATGAAATATTAATTCAATCATATTTTCACCATTACACACAAGTGAAAATGAGAATTAGTCCAGCACGTAGAAAATAGCAATTACATTGAGAATCAATAGGTTTTTCAACCATATTACACTGAATATATTGAATTATATATTAATTATGCATGTTTTGGTTGCGTCTTGTATCACTTTATGTTTTAAGTGTTTTCAGAAGAATATGTTTCAACTTTTAATTTTAATTGATATTAGTTACATTAACAACAAAACAAAACCAATACAACCAAATTCAATTAAATAATACTATCAAAATATAACTTGGTTTTGATTGGTTTAATTTAATTAGATTTAATTTTTTAAAATTAATTTAATTGATATTGATCTGGGTTGGGTCAGTGTTTGCCCCACCGTTGGAAAGGTCCAATCCAACACTCTTGCATAAGGTCCAAAGACAAGCAGTCTAAGTTGGGGATCGTTGGACAACTCCCCACGTGTCTGTATTGCCGTCATCATAACTGCCCTTCAGGAATCACGGGACCAGCACCTGTTCTCTTGAAACAGTTGACCAGGAAGAAGGCCACGTGTTGGACTCCATACGCATGTAAGCTCTGGCAGTCTTCAATGTTGGGCCTCATTGTGGCCCAACATTGAAGACATTGGCTCAGTGCTAGGGGCTATAAATACTTTCTCACTTGAGAGGGTCATGCATTGAATCATTCTATCCCACTCACTCGTACTTGCTTGTATCATTCTGAATCTTACTTTGACATCAGAGTGTCTTACAGGTATCCCCCACCTCATCTACAACTGCTGCTCAACTCATAGCTCATAGGCTTTAACGATCCATTCTGGTCAGGTACGATCAGTGGCGCCATCTGTGGAAATCAAGCTTCCTCGTCTTTCATTTACCTAATACTAAAGCAACCATCAAACTTCGTGATTGTCATGGCCGACCCAACTGCCAACAATAACCTAAACGCCTACCTCGCCGACCCCAACAACAATGTTGTCGACAACATGGGCAACAACAACAACAACGGGAACGACATCGACATGGTCGGTCTCGTGCAAAACTACAGAGACGACATGACTGCCTTTTCATCATCCCGCTCTCGGCCACACGAGGATGCCCATCCGCCCCAAAACTATGAGCTGGACGTTTTCCAAGAGGTCCCCGTCCCCGCGGGTGCTGACGCCACGACCAGGGCTCTGTTCGCGACCATTAACCAAACAAATTATTTAATCTTCTCGCAAGGCGAACGATTAAGGGTGCTCGAGGATTCTCGCCTGTAGCAACTGGATTTTTAATCAAGAGTCGCCACTAATTATTCTAAGGAAGAGAACCTAACAGAAAACCCTAATTCGCAAACAGAGATTCTAGGTTACAGACACAATTAGACGAAAGGAAGGTGTTAGGCACCTTTCATCCACCTTGTTCATAAGGATATTAAGCTCTAGGTTTAGGTTTGGGATAAGCAGTATTTTAAATTTTAATTAGCAAGACTTGCCACCATTTTAGATCGTGTGCCTACGTATCCTCTTACGAGGAATCAGAGTCCCAATTCGTAGTTCGTATGGGTTGGTGTCTTTTAGGGGTTTGCAACCATATTTTTGAATCACTTTGCACTCAGTCGGGAGTAGTGATTGCGGAGATTTTGACTGAGTACGCAGTAAGTCAAAATTAGTTTAAAACTCATTTGCAAAAAGGACTGTTGATTAGCTTAGTTTTACTCGCGAAAATAGTTCGAGATTTGTTTGTGTTATTTTAATAATATTAATTGCAAAAATCTGAATTAATGCATGATAAAAGGGATTTAATGCAATATACGTGAAAATACTATACGTACATGAGTTTTTTTTTTGAGAAAATAATTTATTTATGATAATATAAATGATATTTACAATTAACGAACAAAATAACAATTAATATTAATAATAATATGATATAAAATTAATGTTACCAATAATAATTATTATTAAATAAAGAAATAAATAATATAAAGGGAAAATATAAGAAAATATAAGAATTAATAATAAAAAAAAATAGAAAGTAAATCAATTAACTAGGGGGTGCAATTTTGGTTATAGAGTAAAACTATGGGGGTGCTAAAAGTAGATTGGGTTAGGCCCATATATAAATTCCAAGGGGGGTGTATCTGCCTTTGCGTTTTAGTAATTGTTGACAAGGAGGGTGCAAATAGCAGATGGGCTAGGCCCAAACGCGGTAAGAGGGATCCAGGCAGATTGTGTGTGGCGTGGAGTACATAGTTATAGTCGAGACTTGGCCAGATGGCCGTCTGATCTATATCACACGGTTAGGATTGAAGGAGCGCGCTAACTAATACTAGGCGCATCGCACGGGATCACAACGAATATACAACATTGTTTTTTTCTCAATTCAATTGTTATTTTGTTTTTTTTTGTTTACAACAACTCTCCTTCTCTCTCATGCCTCTCAACCCTACCTTCTTCCTTCTTCTTAATTTCCAAACCCTAAGGTCCTCCACTCTCCGACGGCGCTATTAGTTCCAACCCTATCATAAATCTACCCGCATAACCCAAATCAATGATCAAATAAAAGAAAGCTAAGTTTTACCTTCTTCGTCTTTGTATTCAAAATCTCGACTCTCTGCTTTGAAGATAATCTTCTTTTATCTTTTTTTCCCAGGTCCCGGCGATGCTCGAAGAGAGCGGCGGTGGAATATGGCTTGGCGGTGGTGATGTTCAAGGGTGATTAGGGTTTCCGATCTGGAAACTCTAATCACTTTTTCCTTCTGGATCTTCAGTGCGAGGGTTTGTTCCAATCTCCGTCTTCCAGTTTTTTCTTCTTTCCTCCGACCTCCTCTGTATTCTTTTAGTTTACTTTTTATAGGGTTAGCAGTTAGGGTTGTTGTTATAAATTGTTTAGCTCATATTTATGGATAATTAGAGAGAAATTAGGGACTGTAATTGATTTAGTTTTCTGAGATTTCTTTTATGTACATTAGGGATTCAGATTATTTGTAATGGAAATTTATGGGCTTGGACTCTGTTGTATCTGATTTGCAATTCATTTTAAGATTCGATCATTTTATATTTTTATACTGTAAAAAGAATATGGAATTGACTTTTTTAGCATATTTGATTTGCAGAAATAAATTTCTACAATACTCGTTATATTGAAGAAAACGTGCGTAAATATTTTTTTTGGATATAATTGATTTTCTGGATTTGATTGGGTTCAAAGATTCTGCGCAAGTTCCTTGAGATTTGTTGTTGTAAATTACCAGATTTGGCTTGAGGTTTTGATTAAGTGCGAATCTCCACAATAGTTGTTATGGACAGAATATGCGTGAATCCCTGCCTTGATTTGCACAGTAAGCGGTTTTTTTCGTTTGGGCCCTTAACTATTTCCTTCTGCCCAACAACAAAGGAGTTTTTGTCACCACAATCATTTTTTTAGATTGGGCCCGGTATTAGGCCCTTTTTTATAAAGCAGATCTTTTTTCTCAAATATTAAACTTATATTTACAAAACTCTTACTAAATATTTATATAAAACAATAAAATGTTTTAATAATAATATAATTATACTAAATATCCTTATAATTTGCAACAGGATTCTCTTTTTTCCTTATAATAATTTTTCTCTAAAATAAAACAGTAAAACGTTTAAATGGGTTTTGACTAAAAAACTCAATGGGCCTAATATCATAACCATACCCCCTTCTTTTCTATTTAACAACAAAATGAAAATGGACCAAACGGAATGGGCTTGTAAATTGCAATCTCGCCTCCTCCTATTTTCACTAAAATCAACTTAACCTAAATAAGCTTATACAATTTAAATTAGAGTGGGCTTAATTTAATTTTGACCTCCCTTCTATTAGCAACTATTTAATAATGTAGAACTTTATAGTTACTCCGATAATTTCCATTTACGAATCGCATGGGCCAATGACCAACATGCCTTGCGAATGGATTCACGGATACACGAGTCTTTATGATCTAGAAGACCCTGCTTTCCTGAACAAAAATATACATCCCCTAGTCAAATAAAAACGGACCACCAGATACTGCTGTACCATCTTTAATTAAGTATTTTCTTTATTTCAATCTCAAAAAATATAATCGTCGCGGTAGGACAAATTTGGGGTACGACATCGCCGAGCCCCCATAAGACACAGAAGACCTGACACTATACCTCCCTGTTAGAACGAAGATCATTCTCAGCCTCCCCCGAGGAGACACAGACGAGACAAATCACGAAGCCATTCTCCCCGACGGACTGGGAGACGCCCCACTTTGCAGAGACCACTGCCAGAAGCTACCGGGAGACGCGACCTCACCCCCCATCCCCCCGTGCGGGGAACGACGATCCTTTGAAAACAGAAATAGGGGCAACAGAGAAACGCATCCTCGATCAAGGGATCCTCCCTGAGGCCAAGGCCATCATTACGACCACCATTACAATCGGTCCCCTTCACACTCTCCCTACAGGAGCGACGAAAACGAACCCCACAGTCCCTTATCACAAGCAATCATGGAGGTGCTCAT